CTCTCCTCTTTCTTTTCTTTTCTTTTTTTCTTAATGTGTAGGATTATTTTGGCTTTGTGTGATATTAAATATAGGCCCTTGATTTATGCTTCCTGTGTTGAGAAAGTTTTCAGGATTTTAGAACCTCACTGAGCACAAGCTTACATATTAAAACAATAATATAGTTCTGTATTTTTCAGAAAGCTCTATTTTTAGATAAAAAGGAATCACATGTATTCTATAGTGCTGTCACAGAATGTGGTTAACCTTTCATGAACCAAGAGTCTTGAATCTCAAAGGCAGGATAACAGGAGCAGTATATTGAGTGCTCCCATCCCTTTCAGCCTTCTCTCCTCTCTGTCCACAATTTTTTTAAATCTGCCAACAGAAAAATGGGCATGGTGGGGAAAAGAACACTAAGCTCTTGAGCCTGGCTGCTGTACTACTAGGTGGGTGGCAGAATAAATCAGAAAATGTATCCCCAGTTCTACTTTTATTTCTTATTTAAACTGCTGTTGTTTCAGAATTTAGCCCAAAAGTCTTAAACTAAGGATGTGTGGTATGAACCTCTGCATTCTAAAGATTGCTACAACCACTGCAGGCGCTGTCACCACCCATCTTCGAACAATATTTAGAGTAGACTGGAGATTCACTGAGAAAGCCTTCTTTGGAAGAAACTTATGGGAATAAGAAGTTGTAGGATTTTTTCCTTCCTTCCAGCTGGTGGGAGAGGCTCCTTTCATCCTATCGACTACTGCTGGGTGAAGGGGTCCTGAGAGAATCATTCCAAACACGTGGGCTGCCTACAGGAAGGGAGGCAGGCGTCCTATTTCTGGACTGGGTGCTTGTTGAGCTACAAATCCTAGTCCTTATCAGGCTGCTCCTGGAGAGGAATGCAAAAGAGTTCCTAATCCCCAGCAATTTTAGTTTTAAGCCAAGAAGTTGATGGCTGTCTCTTGACTGCATAAATTTGAAGGTAGATGATTGGCTGGAGTTACCCGCTTATGGTCGGATAAGGCAAAAGTCAGCAAGGGCTAAATATTATCAGAGCCCCAGCAGTCTTAAAAGCAACTTACCCAAAAGGGTTGACCAGTGACGGGAGGGGCTTCAGCAGAAGGATGCTGGGAGTTTTCTGCTAGCAACGAGATGGAAGAGGTGTGAGCAGCCAGACAGGGAAATACATCAAAGATCAGGGAAGAGGACACCCTGCAGGGGAGCAGGGAAGGAGGATATTCTAAGGAACATGAAAATGGACCTTGAGATAGAAAGTCAACTTTTTGATGGTGCCCATGACAGAGGGCACCCAAGAGTCACATTAAAACAAACAAACAAAAAATGAGTAAATAAAAACTTGACACATAAAGCATTTGTATTTCTTTTTCCAAGTCCTTCTTCCCATGCTCCCAATCCTAGACAGTCAGAAGCATAAGAGGGGTGGTGGAAGAAATAGAATGTTAACTGGATAAAAAATAAAATCAAGATCATGCCTCTCTCTCCCACAGGCAAGTCTACACACCATCCATCAGGCCTGAGCAGAGCAGGAGGGGAAGAGCAGGAAGTGAGGCTGAAGTTGAATCTTGGCCTTGGCGAGCCCTGGGTATAGTAACAGTAGACGGAGGTCGGGTCAGGAGGCGCTCCAGAGGCAGGTAAGCTGGATACTGCCGAGTGTGTTTGCAGCCCCTGGTGGGAGAAAAATAAAACTGCTTTCTGTTTCTCCCCTAACCTATATCCAGCCCAGTCATAAGTCAGTCCCTCATTTTGGCATAAATCATTTTATCCTCTCATCTATTCCGTTGTCTTTTAAGAGTTCTGGTTGTCATTTTAGGATTTTCTTTGCTAAGAACTCATGTTTTGGGGGAAATAAACTCCTTCCCTGACTCTACAAATGAGGCCTATGGCTCAGGCCAAGAGGCTTCAGCATAAGCTCATGTCCTGGACACATTATTAGTTCAAAATGACAGTGACCGAACGTCTCGGGCTTGGGCTCTAGGGGCAGGTTTCAGCACTGACAGCGCAGCTGCAGGGATCTTGGAGGCAACGCCTGGCAGAGCTTCTGGGTCTTGCTGCCCCAGCGATGGCTGCAGTACCTGGGACTTGTCCCTCTGGCCCTGCTCCCAACGTCCGATCCAGCCCATTGGACTTGTACACCTGCTTCTTCTCTGACCTCTGGATTCGTGAAAGGTGAGATCACATTCCCATTTCTGAGGCAAGGGCTGCCAGAGAGATTGGAGAATGTAATTACAGAAATGTCTTCTTTCAGATAATCTCAGGACACCGTCAGCTCAACAGTTACGGAACTACTATAGTCGTGTCTTCAGGAATTGCTTGCTTTTTAAGGATGAAATGGTGGAGGCAAACACTGTTTAACAGGTGAGGTAACAAGGATCTAGAAGAGACAGCAGGAAGTAGGCATGGCTCAGAGTGTGAGCAAATACAAGGAGAGCTTCAGGAAGGATCCCATCTCTAGCCAGTATTTTTTGGATATTTTTGCATGAGTTTCATTTTAATTTGAAAGCTACTCAGTTCGCTACTCTTAACTGTAGGGTGGCAAAAGCGAAATCATTCCATCTCTTTAAAGTGGAAGCTTTAATGCACATTGCAAAATAGGTCAAGTTATTAAAGATGGCTATGAAACTGCTAGAATCTGTGTGATTTGTATTATATTACCTCTCCTGAAAGAAACTGGGACCAAACATAAAATCACCAGAACAGCCAATACGAGTACCTTCTGTATCATCCATCCCTCTCCCGGGGAGTTTGAACTTTTCAGGAATGCATGTAACCAGTCATGAAACTGCATACTGACAAAGGTAGCTGACCCCTGTTTTCAAGTTCATGTCACATTAAGTAATTAGGACTTGACAGACAAAGTGATTTTGAATATGCTGTTCTTCTGAGGAAAAGTGATAGATTCTTCAACTACGTGTGTTTACATTCCAGCCTCCTGTGGCAATATTTGGAGTTGCACCCTGGTGGATTTGGATTACAGACAGCCCATACGATGTCTCATCCAACATTTCAA